CAAGTGGCTTATATGTATTAAGTGTCCAACCTCCCTTTATCATACTGAAAAAAGTGTTACTGTTTGTAGTATTTGAAAGCAAAATTATTTCCTGCTGCCAGTTTAGGAAGGAAAGAGCGAGCACCCTCTAGCGGCTGTGGTAAGTAGCACACACAGCTCTTCAGTGCTTTATTGCTTACAGATCAGCTACCTAAGTGGGGTGGGGGCGCATCCTGCGGACTATATGGTGCCTTTCCAGGAGTAGAACATAGTAATGATTTCCTTCCTAGTTTTTGCTTAGTGACTCAGATTTTAAATTTGCTCTACTTAATAGGAAACACTATCCTACTAATTTGACAAACTTGTCTTTTCCTCTTTGCAAAGTACCTATTGCCATAGTAATTCTAAGCTGAACTTCAATGTCCCATTTTAAAAAGATTATGTGAGGTTTAGTTTTAGGATCAGAGCAGTCATTAACATAAGTTTTTGACAGAAGTTGGGGCTGTAGCTCATAGTCACAAAATCAGAACCTAAGCATTTTGAGAATTTAGTAACACCGTTCTCTTCTATAATTCTGTTTTTTATGGCTAAGATTTCAGAAGTTCCCTCTTCTTAGTCTTAAAGCAACCTTTCCTTTGTTTCAAAGTGTTTTCTGAAAAGACCTTTTCTTATGGTCCAATCCTGTCTCTGGTCTCCCTTTCAGTCTCACTCATTTTGGTTGGTGTTTTCTCAGAGTTTCCAAATAAACTTTGTCAAAGGGCAACTGGTGGCTTAATACCCAAGAGCCGCCTTAAACACAGACTGTTCTTATGAAGCTAACCAATAATTATACCCGTGCCGACTGCTGGTTATTAATGCTTGATGCAAGCGAAGGCATAAAACACAATTTCTGGGATGAATCACCATCTATAAAGAAAAGCCTAAAACTGCTTTTCATAGATTGAGAGTTTAGTACTTTGGTCCAGAATTGTATTTCTCAATAAAGATTACAGAGGGGTAATTAAAACGTGTAGGAATTGTTTGGGGGTGCACTTCGGAGTAGCTGAACTGTTATAAAATCCACATTGGGGTGGATTTCCCAATGCATAATCAAGCAATGAGAGAAAAGCAAGTTTCTTGCTTCGCCAAGGAAATTCTGATGTCCCATGATAAGTGCTAAGAAAAACGATGTAGAAAACTCCACAACCAAGCATGTATGATTTCAGGTCCATCCAACCACAATTGGATATTTTTTCCTTTTTCAAGCTTCCTTAAACTTTCAACTTCCTTGAAGTTGAACTAGATTAGGTATAGAGGAAGAGCAGAAAGGAAAGAGATCTGAAATTAGTGGGCAATAAGAAAGATTAAAGAATCATCTTTAGACACAATTAGGTGTTTTGCTTTTGCTCAGTATTCTCCTACTGATTCTTCTTGGGAATTAGAGACAACTGGGAGAGATATCGTGGAAGGAAATTTTTCGGCACAATTACACTTTAGACTTCTCCCTTACCTGCTTCATTCTGTGTAGATAGTCCGTGTTCTACCATTTCTAAAAGATTGTGTGAGGTATAATTTCAAGATTAGTGTAGTGGTGATTAACATGAGTCCATAAGAATGAGGGTGGGAAACTGTCCCCCTCTCTAGAAAAGAGTCGGTTCTCCCCCTCTGATTAAAAGTGCCTTTCTCAAGAGCCATCATTAATTCCCAATCTCAAGTAGGAGCTGCATGTTAGTGTCTCTCATGGACAAGGGCTGGAGGGATCTTATATGCAAAGTCTCCTTTCCATTTTGTTTTAGCAATAAAACATACATTAAAGAAAGAAGATACTGAAAAGGCATAGGGTGGAGTTCATCTCTCATTTCGAAAAGATATTTTGAGGCTCCTGAAAGACTTTGGAAGCCATCTTTTCTGTTATTTACTAGCAGTTCAAATTAGAAATACAAATACATAAATGTTAAAAATTAAGCTGTACCAAACGTAATACAAGTAAATTTCCCTTCCAATCAAGGTCCCTAAACTCCCTGCCCAAAGGCAACCACTGTTAATTGCTAATTGTGTTTTCTTCTAACAAACTTCCTATGTACATAAAAGCATGTGTTCTTTTAAAAAAGACAAGTGGGAACATATGGAAATAATGAAAGCTATTTGATCTTTTTTTAGTATTAGTAATGGTATGACAGACCATTATGATCTTTTTTTCTAGAATACTTTTCTGGGAAGTATTTCTATAGACTAATTAAAAGGTTTTGATTTTAAAGTTATGTTCATAAACTAGTTTAGACTGGGTTAGGAAAAGATAAGTAACTATTTAGACTAAATCTAAGACCATGGCAAAGAACTACTTGATCTTGTTAATGTTAACGTGTTCTCAATTCAATGAAAGAAAAACCAAACGAAACCGACAAATAAGGTGAATTAGTCCGAAGGGTAAATCTGGTGACTTGAATCCATCATAACTTATTTTTGCTCATGTTTATAACTTGTAAGGGCTTCATGTAGGACTTCATGCCTAGGAGGTTTGGAATAAATGAATTTTCCAACATTTGTTGGAAGTTGGACAATATTCATTAAGGACAGTATTTTTATATTTTGAAGTTAGTACCTACTATGCCCTGAAAACACATTCACCTCATAATGTATTTTCTTTTTAAAAGTTGTTATCTGTACTCCAAAGTACAGCTGACCTGGATCAGCATGGATCAGACCTGTGCAGGTCTGGCTTACACGATTTTTCCCTACCTCTGGGTTCTGCATTCATGGGCTCAACCAACCTCAACTGTTGGATGAAAGCTGACAAGAAGGGACTTGATCATCTGTGGATTCTGATATGGGCATGGGTTCTGAAGCCAATCCCTGTGGGGACCAAGAAATGACTTTCACATGGCTCAAGGGTCAACTGTAGCATTTCCTCTCTGTGTTGAAAGGGTCCATGCACCTGCCAGCTAGTTGTGAGGTGTGGAGGACACTGTTTTGTGCAGTGTTCAGGTGGAGGAGGGGCTGCCCCAGGCCCCTGTTTGGAGACCCTCTCGCTTGGGGCTGCGATGAGCCTGCCCACCCAGCAGTGATCAGAGGGGATGCCCCTCCTGTGGTCTGAGTGGGCACCATGGCCACACCTCCTCCAGCAGACAGCAGAGAAACCCCACAGAGCAGTAACCCAGGTGGGGGCAGGGGGGGGTCACTAGCAAGTGCTGTTTTCCTGGAGGACATTGGTCCAACCCAGGGGGATTTTCAGCAGTTGACATGAAGGTCCCTGAGCACCACCTGGACACGAAAGCACGGCTGTGTGGCAGGGATGAAGGTAGAAGGTCTCTGCAGTTACGTGTTGCTTAATGACAGATACTCTGAGAAGCACCTTTAAGCGATGCAGTCGTTGTGCAAGTGCCAGGGTGTCAGCACAGACCTATGTGCCCAGCCTCGTACACACCCAGCCTCTGTGATCTAGCCTGTGGGGACCACCTCACGCATGAGGCCCGTCGTTAAGCAATGCAAGACTCTGTGTGTGTGTGGGGGGGGGGTGCTGCCTTGGATGGTGTTAAATAAGCACTATAAAGTAGGCTGCATTTTTATACCTATAAAGCCAGATTGGCCTAAATACTCACAGCACACAAAACATGGTCAGCACCCAGTTTTTAGAGTGACCGAATCCCATTCACCATGTCTACATCTTTGGGAACTTCAAGAGAACAATGCAATGTGCCTGTTCATATCATCCAGGGAGGAAAAAAGTGAAGGAGCAAAGTGGTTGCCCTAGAACTGAGGTTCTTTTCTCATGGGCAAACGGCCGATTCTTCATGGAGGTTGAGTTATTTTGACTTTACACTGGCTGTGCGGGTTGTTTAGCTTTGGTTGTTCTCTAGTCCATTCTACACCCAAAGGGCCTACGTGGGAGCGCTGCAGAGTAAGAATTCTCAGTGTGTCTGTACGCTGGTGTGGTTTAGGGAGCCAGTGCCTGGGCAGGATGACCCTGAACTTTATGCCGCTTGCAGGGTGACTTTGTTGCTCTCCTCACACCCATCCTCCTGGCCGGGGGACATCTGGCCATGTCAGGAAGCATTTTTGGCTATTACAACTAGCTGGTCGGGCAGAGATGGATATCTAGTGGGTAGAGGCCAGGTTCTGCTCAGCTTCCCACCACGCACAGGGCAGCTCCCGTGAGGAGTCACCCAGTGAGTAAGAAAACCCTGCCCGAGATCAATTAAACCCGAATCTTGGGGGGTGGCGCCCCAGCCTCAGTGGCTTCTGAAGCTCCCGGGTGAGTCCAGTGTGCAGCCGAGACTGAGTCCCGTTGTCCCCACTGTGGTCTTCTTGCTTTGCATGCACCGAGTCACCTGCAGGGCTGGTAGCAGGGGGCAGGGCCCCAGCCCGGAGTCCCTGCCTCAGTGGGTCTAAGGAAGGGGCCTGTGAATCTGCATTTCCAGCAAGGCCCAGGGTGATGTGGTCATGTCGCCCTCTGACCATGCTTGGGAACCCCTCCCGGAGGAGCAGCAGGACCAGAGCTGACAGC